CCTTCATAAAGCCCTTTGGAGATCTCGTGCGTTACCAGGGAGGCAATGATCGTTCACCTCTCGGAAGAAGACTCCCAAACTCATGCGCCCATCACGATTTCTCCCTGGAGCTGAGGCCTCCGTCTCAGCCTCTCTTCTGCCAACCTCTTCCTGAACGTCCTGCTGGCATTTCACATGGAGCCTCTCTCTTCCTAACTCCTCCTCTTTCTTGGTTTTCATCAGCAGCCAGTTTCTTCACCTTGTAATTGTCTTTGATTCCTTCTTCCCTCTTGCCATCTCCATCCATCCCTAAGCTCTGGCCCTTTGACCCCCACAACTGATCTGGCATCCATCCCTTTCTCGTACCTTCTGGCCGCCATGTTGGTCCCCTGGATGACTGCAATGGCCTCCCAGTCGCTTCCCAGGCTCTCCCCTCTTGGATTTCTCTCTCTAATCTAATCTTCCTCATGCGTAGACCCGACCGTGTCACTGCGCTTCTCAGAAACCTTCTGGCGTCTCCCCATTGCCTCTAGGGAAAGGGAAGGAGTCAGAGAAGTTGTTGGTATGGGGAGCTCCTGGGCAAGGTAACTCCCCTACTAATGCCAATGGGCCCCTTCCTTGAAGCTTGGGGTCAGCCTCGAGCATGTCAGCAGAGTAAGGATCTGGGCAGGGGAACATGGTCCCAGGTCTTCCTGGCCCCCTCCCCGAAGCTTCTACTACCTCTCCTTGCTTCTCAGAGCACCTCCCACGGCCCCTGCAGTCTCTTGCCAGTGGGCCTTCCCAGCCTCATTCTTATTTCCCTTTCTCACCCTCTGCTTTCATCTTGCCCCTACCCCCATCTCAGTGGGCCTGTGTGGCTCATCCATCTTCTCCTCACAGACCCTTCCCCCTGAAACTCATTCCCTGCTTCCTGTCCAGCTCAGGGGCCACAAAGCCCTCTTGGTCCTCCCCGGGAGTGCAGGCTGCTTCCTGCCTCAACTCTTCTGAGCTCACTTTGTCTGGGCCGCTCCTTTGCCCATCCATGCCCTGCTTCTTACCTGTTCCTGTACATCTGGAATCTTTCCTATTCAATGGTGAGCTTCTTAAGACTGGTCAGCACCTTGTTTCCTCATTTCACCAGTCCTGAGCACGATGTCTCCTATGCACTGTAATACCTTGAGAATCAGTCAGCTCTCCTTTCAATGGCCAGAGTGTAACCCAGCAATAACTGAACGTATAGACCGTTGAGAGGCCCCATGACCAAAGGACTCATTGCCCTGTAGATAACCTGGTGATGAGTCTTAAACACCTGGCCCATCGTCCCTCACTGGTCTAGAATCTGAGCCTTTCCAGTTTCGAAGGACCATCCAGGGCTTGTGGTCTACCAGCAAAGCCACTAAGACCCCAGGGTCATCTTTGTGTCATGAGAAGGCAGCGCACAGATCGAGTCCTCAGTAAACATTTGTCTTGAATTGACTTGAATTGGTCTGAGGAATGTTAGAATTCAGAGATTAGGTTCATTAGGCAACCCAACAAACTAGAGAGGGCCTGGGGTCTTGGGGAAGTGACCTCCCCACTGCAGGCCTCAGTTTTCTCATCTGTAAGATCTGGGGGTTGGACTAGCTGAAGTCTCCCCCAGCCCTAATGCCTATGCCCTCAAGGGGTCTAGTTCAGTCTTTTTCAGACTCTTTCTGAAACAGTCAGGTCTAGGAGGACAGAGTGACCCTGTCCTTCATAGTCCAAGGCACAGGCCGGGCTTCTTCCAGATGGCTGCTAAGAACACCTCTCTCTTTCAGCATCATGGCCGCTCGTGTAGCTCAGACTCTGATTCCGGCTGAGGTCTGGCAGACAGCCGGGGGCCTGATGGAGGGGCTGGCGACAGGAGCAGCTGGCCACTGCCCTGCAGTTCTTCCCGTGGGTGGGTCAATGACTTACTCTGTCTGTGCTGAAATGAAAACACAGCCATATCCGTGGGCTTCTCTGGGAGCTCTGATTAGATTTCATCGGTGGCTTTTTTCTTCTGACGTAACCTTGAGTCAGAGACTGTCATGTGGGATGAGGAGCCCAGGCACATTCTGAGGGGCTGGGTCATCCCCTCGGCTCTCGGCTCCCAGCCCCCACCCCAGAAGCCTAGGAACATTCAAGAAGCATCCCTGAGGATGCTCTGACTGGCATCTGGAGTGCAAGATGCCAATGGCAGGAGGCAGCGCTCTCACAAGGGGGGAAGCAAGACCGACCATGTAGGAGGAGCGAGTCTTAGCTTGTGCTTCGCAGCAGTCCTGAGTGTAGGGGCTGCCCCAGGGAGGCTGTTCCCCATGAACCTGGGCTGGCTCATTGCTCCTTAGGCTGTATCCTGCAGACCAAGGCAGGACCATAGAATGGGGGGTATCCTCTCTGTTCCTCCCTTCTCCTCCTGACCTCAGAGGCAATCCAGTCCACCAGTCTCTTCTCCTTCTTCTCATCCTCTTCTGTCCTGTTCCCTTTCTCCTCTCTTCTTTCTTCTTTCTTCTTCCTTTTCTTTCTTCCTCTTTGCTCCCCCTTTTCAGTGTTGCCTCCCCTGTCCATGATAAGGGCAAAAGGACTCCCAGATTATGCCCTTCTTCCCTGGTTGCCCCGGCTCTTTCCCTGTGGGTCCAAGCCTCACGACTTCTTCAGTCTCCCCCAGTTACCAGCCAGACCCATCGTCATGCCTATTCCTTGAGACATACAATCCTTATTTTTCCCAGTTATGCAAATGTACAGAGAAGGGAGATAGCGGGCAAATATCCCATGACAGTTTGCTCTTAATATAAGGGGAGAAAACAAATCAACACAAAACCAAAGGTTGACCAATCCTGTGAATTGGGGGGATTTCCCATCTCTGGAGAACCACAAGTAAGCCATGAACTTAGATTCTGGGGCTCTGTGTTCAAGTTACACGTCTATCTAACAGACTTTCTGGGAGAGCCGATCCTCTCATTTAACTGCTTGGCTTTCCGTTCTTGTCTACAAAGTGGAGATGATGCTTGAGTCACTCCATAAGAGCGAAGGAGAAGATTGAGCAAAAAAAACTACAGTAGAGAAGTGGTGTGGTGTAATTGATAGAGAGCTAACATCAAAGTCAAGGAGACCTGGATTCAAGTCTAGCCCCTGACATATAAGGGCTGTGTGACCTTGGATAAGTCTCTTCCTCTCTCAGTGCCAAAGAAATTTCCCACCCTACAACCCGACCAAACCTCAATGCTCCAGTGAAGCCCCATTGTTGAATACAAGTAAACCCTCATCACAGTCACTCTTCCCCCCTCTGGAAAACCACACTGGGCTCAGAGGCTGTGACAGTGATAAAGGACCCTTCCTATTACTGACATTCCATTATATTTCATGTTACAGGGATTACATATTTCATGGCATTGAGGTCATTTATTCAGCAAACAGCACGTGACTGGTGTGCTCAACTGAGTTCCAGGACCTCTCTACCTTCGTCAGATGCATTCAGATAAGAAGATCTGGGTTTGAATTCTGCCTCTGGCACCTGGGAAAGTCACTTCACCCATGTCTGCCTCACTTTCCTCATCTGTCAAATGGGGATGATAAAAGCTCTTACTTCATAGCATTGCTGTAAGGAGGAAATGAGCTAATAAATAGAAAGTACTATGTGAATGCACACTCTTATTATGGCCAGGTGTACCAGGGTTAGTCTTGGGAAATTTGTTTCTTATAACACTGGTACAGTCCTGTAGGTGCCCACCCAGAAGCATCTGTCTGCTCACATAGGAGTTTGGTGTATTTCTAGCTTTCCCTTAGGAATATTCAGTCCACCCACTAGCAACAAAGACTTGATGTTCATCCGAAGATAGATTATACCTGTTACGTAGCATTTAAGGAACAGAAATGGGATTTACCTATTTCTAAGTCAAATTATCAAGGAACAAAACTCACCCCACCAATAGGGGAAGTCTCAGTAGTGTGAGTGGAGTTGGGAATGCAGCATCCAGGCACCTCCTTTTGTGGCCTCCTTTTCCAGGAGTCTGGGCACCATGTTAGTGGGCATATGATAAATGCTTAGTGATTGAATGACTTCCCACTTGTACTTATGTCCTGGTACACATCCAGCTTATCTCTAGTCCTGCACACCCCATTCTGTAGCTCCTGGCATGGCTCAGGAACTCTTGGCACTGGCCCCAAAGCTGCTACATATGCCATGTCCATAGTTACCACATCATCACCATAGCCTGGATGTCCTGCCATTTCTGCCCATGGTATCCCTTCTTCCCCCAAACAATCTGTTCTCTTCCATTCAGTATCTGCCTCTAGCGATCATGGCATTGTGGGAAAGGGTGTCCTTTTCTACCAGTACCTAAGGGAGACAATCATTTAATCTATATTTGGGAGGAGATCCAAAGTTTGGGTAACACATTATCTGAGCTCCCAATATGGAGTTCTCAGGCTAGGAGATGCTGTCAGGGAATGGGATTTGTATTTCTAAACCAGAGTTTTTAAACACAGGAATGTTGAGCCCCTTGACAAAAATAAGAACAGTTAATGGTAAAATGGAATCTTGGAAATCTAATTAAAATCTCCAAAGGACTTTAACTGAAAAAGGAAGGAATATAGAAAACTGCACTCACTCACTCACACACACACACACACACACACACACACACACACAGAGTATTACATACAATAAGCAATAGCTACACTGTAGGAAGAAAAATGCCATAGAAATTCACAGGAAAGAAAATCCAGGAAAGAAGCAAGAGGTAAAATTCAAAGCTACAAATAAATGCACTAAGTATGGATGACAAACAAGATAAACCAGAGATTCTAACTCAAGGTGGGAAAACTGACCTCCTATATGTCCCTGATACTTGGTGGGAAGAGTCCCATGACTGTAATTCAAAAGGAACAGTCTAGGTAAAAAACAAAAAAAGAAAAAAAGAAAAAAAAGAAAAAGTAGCTTTGTGTATTAGAAAGATGTGGGGATATCTGGGAATCAGAGGGAAGATGTATCTGTGCTTTCGAAACATCATTCCTCTGCTAAGTTGGCATTTAGGGGTAGGGAATATTTCTCCACTCTTTTGCAGAGGGAAGCATGGTCATTCCAATGATGGGGTCAGTTTTATTTTGTTTTTCTTTCCATTCACATTCTAATTCACAAGTAATCATCTATGTGGTCTTCTTGATTCTGCTACTTCATATCAATTCAGTTAGATCTTTCTGTGTTGCTCTGAGTTTTCCATATTTCTCGTTTCATAAAGCACAGTAATATTCCATTATATCCATGTATCACAATTTGTTTAGACACTTCCCCATTGATGGGTAGCTACTTTGTTTCCAGTTCTTTGCTATCAGAGAAAATGTTGCTACGAATATTTTGGCATATATGGGATTCTTTTTCCATCTCTGCCCTCCTTGGCATATACATCCATTGGTGAATCAAAGGGTATAGACATTCTAGTTGTTTTTTTTTAAAGCAGAATTCTAAACTGCTTTCCAAAATGGCTGGACCGATTTACAGTTCCATCACCAATGTATTCATTTTTCATATCCGCTCTAACTTTGACTAATTCCATCTTTTGTTCTCTTTGTCAATTTGCGAAGTGTAGTATGAGGTGCAAAGTCTGAGTTGTTTTGATGTTCATTTCCCTTTTTATTAGTGATTTGGAGTGATCTTTTATGTGGTTGATAATCGTGATACTTCTTTGAGAGTCCTTTGTTCATATTCTCTGACCCATTGGGGAATGATTCTTAGTCTTATACATTTGCATTAATTCATCATGCAGCTTGACTATCTCAGCCTTATCAGGGTCTTACCCCTCTCCTCTTTTTTCGGGGGGGATGCTCTGCAGTGTTGCTGCTGCTAATAATGATAACAATAACTAGCATTTATATAGCACCTTTAGGTTTGCCAAATGCTTGACAAGTGTTATCTTATATGATCCTCACAACAACCCATAGAAGTAGGTGCTATTATTATCCCCATTTTACAGATGAGGAAATGGTGGCAGATAGAAGTCAAGTGACTGCTTAGGATCACACAGTTAGAAAATGTGATGCCCGGGACCAAGCCCAGTCCTCCAGATGTGCTCTGAGCAGGGCAGAGGGCAGTAAGTCTATCACCTCCTATGTTCTGAGCATTAAACAGTAATATTATACATAGTATGGCCTAGGCTGTTAGCTCCATTACTGGGCATATCATACCACTGACTCATTTTGAGCTTGTAGTCCACACCAACTCTCAGGTCTGTTTTCATAGAAAATATTTTCTAGCTAGGTTTCCCCCATTCTATAGTGGTGAAATTTAGTTTTTGAACCCAAGTGCTGAACTTTACATTTATCTCTCTTGAATTTCATCTTAGTTGACTCAAACCATATTCCTACCTGGCAAGACCTTTTTAGATCCTACCTGTCTTTTGGTGGGTTAGCTCTCCTTCCTAGTTCCATGTCACCTGCCAATTTGATAAGCATGTCTGCCATCTCTGCCTTCTTCCACGTCATTGGTAAAAACATGTTGAATAGCACAGACTGATGGGGAACTACACTGAAGACTTTTACCCAGGGTGATCCACCTCTGCTGTTAATGAGTCCTTTGGGGTCAGTCATTCTATTGATTCTGAGTTTGCCTAACTGTGCTGCCTTTAACACACAGGATAATAACAATCAGAATGGGGATGTCATCTATGGATAATGGGGGTGGAAGATGGAATTTCTGGGTTATTTAGCTGGAAGACCCAGGATTCACTGTGGGGAGAACACAGCTACCTAGGTCGCCAATAGGAAAATGAACTAGGAAAGATCACCAGGGTCTCAGGCATGCCCATTTCACCCTCTAGCACCAATCAAAACACTGTATTGGGAGGTAAGAGAAAAGTTTATTGGTCAAATGTCACAAAGTTTGTTTCCAGAAGAAATGTGTTGGATTTTAATTCTGTGGCTGAGCCTGATTCTCCCAGTGGCATATGTAACTATGAGGAGGCAGGTATGAGATCCCACAGCTTCTTAGGACAGCCAAGAGAAGAGGTGAGAAGGAGGTCTGCAGAAGGAGCGGGATTTGTAGGAAGGCAGTGGGTATGCTGTGGGGGGAGGGGCTAACTATAGCAAACACAGTGTCAGGAGTTACAGTCCCAGGACCAGGTCAGCAACAGCATGAGGTCAACAGCCTGGCTCACCTGCCTTTTCTCAGGGAGGCCTGAGTTCACTCCTGAGGGGACACATGGTGGTGATGAGAGGCAAGGCAGACCCAAGTGCAGGGAGGGAGCAGGGGACCAGCGGAGGCGCACAACTCTGGGAAGAACAAGGCCCTCTGCAGCTTGGGGTGCAGCAAGGGGGTGAGCCAATGAGCACTTATGCAGCACCGAGTGTGTGCAGCACTCCTCCACCACATGAGAATTGTGGGGTTTTCTCTCTGATTTTGGAATCGAGGTGGGGCAGACGAGGCATCGGTGGAGGAAGGGCACCGAGTAGCTCTCTCAGCAAGCAGGGACCCTGTAGGAAAGGCCGCATAGAAGAGCTAAGAAGGCACGAAACCATCTGATGAGAAATGGGCCCATGGGTCAGAATTCCCAAGGGGTGACGGGGCAAGGGCGGAGCAGCACATGCCAGGCAAGGAAGCAGAAAGCTCAAGTCCCCTCATTGTGGACCTTGGCGAGGATGCTGGTGAGAGGCTGCTGGGAAGGAGGGGGCAGGGACAGAGGGCCCCGGGCAGGGGGGTTTGCAGATGGCAGTCTGTCTCATTGCTGGGTGGCCTTGGATGGGAGGCCAAGATGCTCATGGTGGGTGCAAGAGGCACGAGTGAGGCTTTGCAGGTCCTGGTGTGGGGAGGTGGCGAGACGACCATGGTGCTCCAGGAAAAGCATTCTGCCATGTGTGTGGGATGAACTAGAAGGGGGACAGGCTCCCCGCCAGCACTGGTCAGCGCTGCTCTGATAATGTGTCCGTTCGCTTATTCCCGCTCCCTGAAGCTCTGCATCCATCTCTACCCGGGGGGCCCAGGGAATAAGAAAATCTATCCCGGGGATGGGACTAGAAGGTCGATAATCTGGACTTCTTCAGGACCAGCGTGGGGACGAGGAGAGGGAAGCCCCCTGGGAGCACCGTGAGACGCCAGTTATGCCTCATCTAAGGGGGATGCTGAGGTCTCCCCTCTAAAAGTGCCTCTGATATGGATCTCTCTGTGTACCCATGCACTCCTACATGCACTCTCACACACGCGGAGTGGGGCACTACTTGGTACTTGAAGAAGCATTGGAAAGGTTCGGCTGTGGCTCTGAGTCCTTCTGCGTTCTTGTTCTCTATTAGCACCATTAAGAGTTGAGGACTATTTCCTGTTTGTGGTTCATCATGAAGAGTCCAGATCCGTTCCTTGCTTGGCCTGCAGGGGAACTCCAGCTTCGTGGGAGCCCTGCCAGGCCAAGGCGTGGAGTTACCCATCCCGGGCTGAAATCAGAGGAGAGGAGCAGGACCGCATGGCAGGTGTCTGTGTACATTTGTGTTGGGGGGGGTCAGGGCGGGGTGAGGGCAAGATGGAATGCTCGGGACACGTGCCTTCTGGAACCTTGTGGGGGGGCGGAGCTAGCAGATCCATCTAATGAACCTGTCAAAGAAGTTGGGCTGGGACAGGCTGTCATAGTCCTTCTCTTGGAAGATGGCGGACCGGTCCC